TCTTAATGTTTAGGATCACATCTCATTTATTAATAACATTATGTCCACTAGCTTACATCAAATAGCTGAAATTTTTGGATGATGCGATCAGTTGTAATTAGTTTACACCAGTAGCCACACCTTTAATACCTGTTGCATCATGTCAGACATTATCACCTTGTCCTTCAGTATCATTGGTTCACTCATTTACTAGGACATCACCACTTAGAGTTTTGTTTGTATTTAGTTTTTTTTCTTATATTTCTTGAAATATGTTATTTTGTTAATTTATTATTTATGTTATTTTATTTTTGTTATATCTATTTGAGGCAGATAGTTATTTATACTTAATCTATAGTTAATTTTATTTTCTAACTTTTATGTTCTATACGATTTTTAATTAGTTATTTTGGATTGTTGGGGCAAGTTTGGTGCTTTAATTTTTTTTTTTATGAAATGATGTTTTCATGGTTTAAATTACATTCTGAATTGTTGGGATAGTCAATTACTTCATTGAGGTAGTTGACTACTTCATTTTGGCAATAGATTGCTTTAATAAGGTCATTGACTCTCTTTTCATTAAGGTTTAATGAGCATTTTAGATTGTACAAGCAATTGAAGCAATGAACTAATCATTTGATTTATTGATAAAATGATGTTTTTAGAGTTTGAATGCATTCTAGATTGTTGGGGCAGTCGACTGCTTCATTTTGGTAATGGATTGTTTTAACAAGGTAATTGACTTCTCTTTTCATCAGGGTTTAGTAAGCATTCTGGATTACAAGTGCAGCTGATTATCTCTTTCTAGACAATCGATTTCCTTTTTGATTTATTGATAAAGTAATGTTTTTAGGGTTAGAATTGCATTCTAGATTGTTGAGGCTATCAATTGCTTCAGCGAGGCAGTTGATTTTTTTTTTCATCAAGGTTTAGTGAGCATTCTGGATTGTAAAAGCCTTGAGGCAGTCGATTGCTCTTATGATTTATCAATAAAATGATGTTTTCAGGGTTTGAATTACATTTTGGATTGTTGGGGGCAATTGATTGCTTCATTTAGGCAATCAACTGCTTCAACAAGGTAGTTGAGTTCTCTCTTCATCAAGGTTTAATACGCATTCTGGATTGCTAAAGCAGTCAATTGCCTCTTTTGATTATTGATAAAATGATGTTTTCAAGGGTTTAAAAAGCATTCTGGATTGTAGGATTAGTTTATTGCGTCCATAGAAGCAGTTGACTGCTCTTATGATTTATTAATAAAATGATATTTTATGCAATTTGGGAGCTTTTTGCATTGTTAGGGCAGTCGATTGCTTTATTGTGGCAGTTGACTTCTTTTTTTATTTTTTTTGGTCAAATTATGCCTTAGAAAAAATGTATTGGTTATCATCCATTTAAGAACATGTTAACCCTAAACACAACACTTAGAAAACAATAATGAAAATTACATTATTAGTTACAACATTACCAATAGATACATAAATTAAAATGTGTCAAAATCATCAATCTAGGTTAATTATTTTTTAATGGCCAAATAAGAGTTTTTGCTAAACATAAATTGAAATCTTTGATGCGTGATACATATGAAACTTCTCATCCCTGAGAACATGTATATTAATGGCGACGTTAGTTGTAAGCAATTGGAAGTATTAGTGAGACTAGTTTCATTAGTACCTTTAATAAATATTTGAGTAATAGTTTTCAAATGTAATTATAAATAATAAAACACGATAACTATAAAATACAATTTTTGGTACTTGTACAAAATGACAATCATTAACAAATTTAATGTAATGATTCTATGTTCCAACAATGAATGTGGTTCAGATTTAAATGGGGGATACATGAGGCACTATCTCAAACTGATGTGGATTAGCATAACATTATATCGTGAGAATATCACATGGCCTATATTAGATAAAATCATCCGTATAATGTATAAAGCATAATTTTGGCAATATGATAATGTTTTTAACAACTCATTTCCATGCTCCATGGATAATACAACATTTTATATTCACCTTGATAACGATTAAGTTTATCAATTAAATCTTATCGCACTTGTTCCTAACCATCCCTTTCCAATTAACCCAGTAATAGAACAAAAATCATAATGTCCATCTGACTCAACATCCATGATACTCTATATGTAACTCCACTAGTAAACTATCTAAATATCGCATATTTTCTTTACCCTTAGAATGATGAAAGAAAAGTTTATGCATTTGCGTTGTCAATTTCATTGAATTAGCTGTGGTTAGTGGTGATATATTATCTCGTATAGATAACACAATCTCTTAATGTGAAGGGTTACGTCATGCAAATATATCTACTTTCATAGCTCTACAACTTTTTTTCTTAGCTTCCTATAGTGGTGGGACAAAAAAGTTGTAAACGGATCAGTTAATTCTATAAACTTTTTTTTATGGCCAATTTACTTACCTTATCACATTCGTTGAAACATTTTATGATTTGTTCCACCTCAAATACAATGGTCAACTTAGAGGACACCCCATTAACTTGGCTTTTCATTAAGTCTAATTTTATCCAATGAGGATGCATTTTAGATAAATAAATTAGACTTCCCACCCTTTTATATGCTTTGTAATTTCATGCACACTAGGTAATCTATGTATGCTTCTAATTAAACAACCACAAGCCTACTTGTTAATCCTAACTTGATTTGCCTTTGGCTTGCATAAAATCATTTTGAATGTGCTTTTAGATACAAATTCTCGTAACTTTTTAAACAATGTTGGCTTGTAGTTACATTCAAGAATCGTAACACTTTTTTTAAATAAAGCCTTTATTTTTGTATGTTGGAGATCAATAAAGGAGTTGATTATCTTTCATGATTATTCAAAATCCTTTTGAGATGATCTAAAGTGTCTTTTCAACTACGCATGTGCACTTTGGTTTTAAATGACATTATGAAGGTATATTATAATAAATATGTTTTGTTATAAGTTGTGCATATCAAAATAATCGTAACGAAGGAATAAAAAAATACTTATTTGTTGTAAATTATCAAAATGCATTATTTTATTAGTTTAAATGGCAATAAATCTATCCTTATACTTTATCAACCACTACTCTTTTACATACTTGATTACTCTTAGATAAATCTAATAATCAATTTCTATGAACTTCTATGCTTTTGGTACTTATCATAAGTAGAAGAGAATACAATGACACTATAACTTGATATGAATGTGTCCTGTTTCTTCTTGCATTAAAAAAATTTCTTACAATTTGTAAAAACATTTCTTGAGATATGCGATATGCAAATAAGATTTTTTGTGCTAAGGAACATTGCTCTTATTACATTCATCAATGCCAAGTTTCTATCAATAACAATCACAGTAGAAAATATACCATATGACATCAAACTTTTTAATGTACACATTTCCTAACTATAGTTGTCATAATGCTCATCCTACATGTACATAAATACAACAGAAAAATCATCTTATTGGATGTCACACCAACAATCTCAAAGCAATGAGAGATGGTATTTATTGGTATTATAGGTACAATTCATAACAAGAACACTTGAAAATGCATGCAACAAATCTATATTAGAAGATAAGCCTATTATAAGTTACAAGTCCTTTACACAATTGCTTGTCTTGTTACTCTTATGCCATTTTATGTATTTACAATTGTTCAACCTTTTCATGAGTTTGTTACTGATATACCAGTTTTCTCAATAAATTTATCTTTGACGTGCATCGTATATAGTTTTTATAGTGCTGACATTCTTTTCATTATATTATTTTAGGGTGAATAGTATGTTTTCTTAGTGTGACCACACTGTTTAATATATCAGCAACTATTGGTTTTTTCTTTATCACATAATCTACCTATAAATGAATGTTCCTTTAATTTTTTGTTGGTAGATAATTATGAAACCTATAAATTACTTTCGCATTGCATTCATCATCCCTTACCAATTTAATCCCATTTAACTCAAATGGACCATCACACTTCTTTATTCCCATTCCCTTATGCTGTATTTTTTTTTTCTATATTTGCCTTATTTTTTTGTTGTTTGTATTTTTTATTTTGTTTATATGTCAATCTTATTCTAAGTTTCTTCGTTGATCCTTCGGAGTTTTTAATCATAACAACAAAATCATTATTTTTTCAACCTGCTTAATCTATGAAATTAAGATTTTTTTATTACAAAACATTTGCACAACATATTTGACTTATTATTTTGTGAGTCTATATAAACTAACTTTTAAAACACAAATTTTATCAATTTGTATAATCTAAATTCAATATCATAATACTTATATAATAGTAAACTAAAAACTATCATTATATTTGGTATCCAAATTATGTGATGATTCATTCACTTAACAAGTGTAGTTTCTAAATTATTTTGCACTTTCAAATAAGTTAAAAAATTAAAACAATAATGTTTATTGGATTTGCACATCTAAATTCACATTACATTTTTGGATATACATATTTGATAGTGTAAAATATATTTTGCATATGCATAATAAAGAACAAAAAACACCTTTTAAACATGTATATTCAATAATATCATTTAATTTTTAGATCTAAATATTCAGATATGTAAATTTTCAGGCTAAAATTAGCACTTTGTTGTTTTTTTTTGGTATTTTTCAACCTCATTATTTTTTTTTCTTATTTGGTTATCCATTTTTATAATGTACAAAATACCGGGAGAAGTAAATAATGATTTTAGGATTTGCGATTGAAACAGGAATGGCACGTGGGTGTAAGAAAGGTAAAAAAGAAATTTTATAGAACGTTTTAAAATAATTTCATTTAAGCGTAATTTTATAAATAAAAATAAAGAGTAATAATTATGATGTAAATAGAAACCTCCTCATCTAAAAAACAGAAAAAGAATCTATGAAAGTGTAAACCACTTAATTGTCGCGGATGACACGACCAAGGACTCTTACGCGCATGTAATGCACGTGGCATTAACTCTTTTTACTTTCCGAACTCGCTAGAAAAGAAATTTCATTTTTCTTTCACTCTTTCGAAACAATAATTCAATAGAAAAGAAAAGAGGAGAGAAAGGGAAAAAAAGTTTTTGGTCTTCCTTTTTATTTCTTTTCCCATTTCTGTAATTTACGCAAATGTTAAATCTGCCTCAATCTCTATCGATGAACGGCCCTTTTGGGGGGCCCAGCGCGTCGAATCCAACCGCCGCCGGAGCTCCGGCGAATAAGGATCGGAAAATGGCATCGGCGGAGCATTTGGTTCTCGATCTGAGCAACCCTGATCTCCGAGAAAACGCTCTTCTCGAACTATCCAAGGTAATTTAATCAACAACATTTTTATCTTTATATAGTATTTGAGTAAATGATGGTTCTTTTTTGTCTTCTCTTTTCTGTGTTTGATAAAGTAGGGTTCCGGTTTAAATAAAGTAGAAAATTTGAGGGAAATTTGATTTTAATTTTTCTGTTTTTAGTTGAGGAGGAAACCCAAATAAACTATATGCAAAGGTGCCATTTTTTTTTTTTTTAAATATTTGTGATACTTCTAAAAGATATTAAGAGGATAGGAATGTGGACAGGAATGGAAACAGCACTGTATCTAGGCTGAAAGCCTGAAACTAATTCCTGTGAACCTGTTACTTTTTTTGGTTAATTTTTGGGTTTATTGATGGCTATTTTTCTGAAGAGAAAAAAAAATTCATGAAAATGGAGACGGCACATGCATTAATGGGGGTTACCATGATTTTGGCAAAGTAGTCATTGATAATGTGTGGAAATGAATACCTGTGTGAAAATGAGAGTGTTTTTCTGGCTCTGGAGGATAAGGACTATTAAATTATGATATTGGTAATTTGGAGAAAAATGGATTCTGGAGAACAGTTATTGTTAGAAGTTTGGATTGAGATGGTAGAATTAAGAATGTGTTAAATACTTAAATATGTTCTGTCTAGAGCCTTCAAATTTTATACTCTTCTGCTAATCTACTCTTTTTCTTGCATGGTTTCAAGTTTTATGAATCCTCATGTTTTTAAATGTAGTCTTTTACCATATTTCTACTTATATGGGTTATTTATTTGTATTAAGCCTTTTGGTCTTGTTCGCTACTTTCCTTTTTATTGTTGCATTGCGTGTCATTTCTTCTGTTTATTTCCTTAAAGATGCAATGGCCTTGAAGGAGATCATATGTATTTTGCATTATTTCGTTTTTAGGATAATGCTTTCATATATGTTCTCTAAGAATACAATGGCGTTGGAAACTGAACATTGCTTCGATTCTTTCCTTTTTTCTTCTTTACTTCTGATGCGTTATTGATTTTCTTATGCAATGGCTTTGGTTTCAGTGTGAATTATTTAGCATTTCATTTAGCTGCCTTTGCATGCATTATCTTCATATTGATTTTGAATATTGAGGTGGAAATACTTGTCCTAACTTGACAGTAGCAAATTAATCAACCACTCACTGTAACGAGTGATATGGGTGTATTGGTGGTTGATTGAAGTGAATTCATCATCTTTAAAAATAAAATATATGGGTTCGGTGTTATTTATGAAGGTCTAAAAGTAAGAAAAATAGCCCCAGAATAGTGGTTTTTTTTTTTTTTTTTTGTGCACAGAGGTTATTAGGTTAATATCTGCAACTTAATCTTCTCTCATGTTCTTTCTCTATAAATGATTATGCATTTAGCTGTTCAGCAATTGTCTGTTACTACTATAAACTAGTGTCTACCTTTGGTTTATTTTTTAGAACAAGGAATTATTTCAAGATTTGGCTCCTTTCGTGTGGAATTCTTTTGGTACTATAGCTGCACTCATACAGGTATGCCTAATAAACTTGTTTTTGTTTTTATTTTTAGAAGAGAGAATTATTTCAAGATTTGGCTCCATTGTTGTGGAATTCTTTTGGTACTATTGCTGCACTTTTACAGGTATGCTATTTATAGTTGGTAGTTCAAACTCACTCTCCTCTTTCCTCCCTCTCCCACTCCCTTTCTCTACTATTTCTATAATTTCTTTATTTACTGTCTAATGCAAATGGGCTTGTAGATAACTTGGTAAGTTCAATTGATCATCTTTCTTGGATTGAGTTACTGGTGCTAGTGCTGTTTTTTTTTTTTTTTTTTCCTATGCTATAATTATGGTGCATATCTTTTAGCAAGTTGATATCTTTCACTTTTTTAATGGTGTAAGCTAGAACACTAGGGTTGGACATGAACATCAATGAAAATGAGCATAGGCAGCTAAAATATTATTTGACGTTAAAGTGAAACATAATGGTATTATTTCTTTAAAACTAAAATATGAAAGATTGTATGTCTATGTTGTTAGTTAGGTAACATTCCTGTGCATCTTGATCAAAATGTACTTCATTTTACCAGATCGGTGGTTATCGTGTGTCTGCATGATGAATGCAGATATGCAAATGTACTTTTTGAGTTTTTCTGTATTTGACTAGGGCTTTGTTTGTTTAAAGAGATTTAACAATGTTCAACATTTTCTTTGTAAACATAAAACTATGAATTCCTTTCATCTCTTTTTTCTTGTTTGTGTATTATTTCACATATAAATTTATTTTAACTCAATTTGTAATATATTCCCTCCTTTTAGGACCTAATCAACAAGAAAGGGAATAGAAAAAGGTAGAAGAAGCGGTTTTATTATAGGGGATATGGTGGAAAGGCTTGTTCTATTTGGCTAGTGAGAAATGATTTATTGGAAAAAACCACAAGTCAAATTTTACTTCAAAATAAGGGTATATCTGATGTAAATTGAATTTTTAGTTTATTTTTTACACTTTTATCATACACATGGAAACATTTTAAATCATGGATTTTTTTGTTAAAACAAGGGGATTCTTGTCGTTTTGAGTCTAACGACCACTTTAGAAATGCTAGATGCTTCATATACATTCTTTTAGTAATAAAGTTGCCAATTGGAAATTAAAAAATATCATGTCTAGGGGCTTACTCTTTCTCAATTCCTTGATGCTAAACCATTTTTATTTGCAGGAGATAGTTTCAATTTATCCTGTTCTCTCACCACCAAATCTAACTCCAGCTCAATCAAATCGAGTTTGTAATGCCCTTGCTCTACTTCAGGTGATATGTTTTTGGCCTTTTCCAATGCTTCTATTATATTGAATTTTACCTTCACTAATGGTAACTTATTACTCAAATATTGCCTTTTTGTATGTTTTCCATTTTTTCTCATATTGTTGAAGGGGAAAAAAAGATAAAGATAGCGCAATTTTTTGTTTATTATTGTATTGGTCAATTCAAGGGCACTTCTAATATGTCATAAATTTTCATCTTTTCTATCAGTGTGTAGCTTCTCATCCAGACACAAGGATGTTATTCCTAAATGGTACGGTCTTATCTGATGAGCATACTTGTTTGGTTTTGAGATGAGTACTTTGTTGGTCAATACATGACAGTGATATTTACTTGTTTCACTGTGCCTTTTTTTTTTTTTTCTTTTTTGATTAATTCTTAAAGTTGCATTGAACATCAGGACATTTCATGATTATGGATTATCCTCTGAAATAGGATAGTGATGTTGTCATAATGGAATTGCCTCTTAAGTACCTGAGTACAAGTCATTCTATTGAGATTTCTTGTTGCTAAAATCATAAAAGTTGAATATTGCTTGGGAGAGAGACTAGCAATTTGAGATCATGGAATAAACATTTTAAGTAACACTTGAAATATTATTTTCACTATAAGATTCCTTAATTATCTTATACACTGGCAGTGAGGAGTTTTTAAACTCCACAAGTGGATTTTTTTTGGCCACCAACTCCACAAGTGGGTTTAAATGGACATATATATATATATATATATATATATATATGAAAATGGACATATAGTTATATATGAAAATTAACAAATCATTCAATTATTAAGTGGACAAATGAAAAACATTTATGAGTTTAAAAACTCCACCAACGGTGTATAGAATAATAATCCTTCTTTTAATGCAGTTATTTGTTAAAGTGCTCTTGTGTTTAAGTAAAAGCACAACTATGTTTCTCAATATTAAAATTTTATTTCAACTGTAAGTCGAGTGCAAAGACTACTGGAAAATTTATATAGTAGCTGTTTGGTAAATGTAAATGGATTGATAAATACTTAATCTTATAAGAACTGTCCTGATTTTCTATTTTGGTTGTCCCCAAAAAATTGTAAATAATAAAAAGTCAAAGGCTAATTATTGCAAATGTTCCAACATTTTTTAATAAATTAGCTTCTTAATTGTTTTTTATTCTGAGGTTGTAATGGCAGAAAGCTTGAATTAATGTTGGACATTTGTGCTATTGTCTATTCTAAGTAGCTTTGAGCTAAAAGTCCTTCCTCTGCACACCCTATGCCCTTTGGGCTGTGTGCATAGCTTGTTCATAATAGTTGCATTGTGTTGGCTTTTCCACATCATCACTTCGTTTCTTAGTCCATTTGCTGGTTGTTAAGTGTGTTCTTTTCACCCCTTTTCTCTGGCTTCCCTCCATAAAATATCTCTGGCAAATTTTGAATGCTTATGCGCTAGTGATGTTGCTTTCTTGCTTCCTGTATTTTTATTAACTAATGAAAGAAAGTCTTTTTGTCTCCTATATAAAGTTGTATGTGTTCTAATTGATGCTGCTTACTAATTATTATCCATTTGCAGCTCATATACCCTTGTATCTATATCCTTTCCTTAATACAACAAGTAAATCAAGGCCTTTTGAGTACTTGAGGCTTACTAGCTTGGGTGTCATTGGTGCCTTGGTGAAGGTAATTTGTACTTGCTTTGATTTAAGTTGATTGAGTTGCCAGCAATGTGATCTTCATGGATTATAGTGCCATTATACATTTTACTAGATCATGCTAGGTTGAAGGAAATGCATGATGCAAGAAGAGTGTGAAAGAATTCTAAACGTAAAGCAATGGTCTATGAGAATTGACGTGGTCTTGTATAAGATCTTTGATAAGAACTTAGAGAATGACAAAGATGTTGATTATCCACTGCTATAAATAGGGTTGAGGGACTTTATATGAGCTACAAAAGATGATTGTAAACTTGGATGGCAGCCTCTGGAAATTTATGGTCAACAAGATTTGCAGTAATTTGTGTAAAGAAAAAGCTTCCATAGCTATACTACACACGTCTGCAGTTTGGTTTCCTCATATGTGTCATTCAAACTCTGTAATCAGCTAGCCATTAGGAATTATCCTTTGCATGTTTATTAGGAGCTAATTCAGTGAGCTACATGAACTAGGGAGTTCCTCCCTTATTTTGTGCTGTTGTACATCTCTTTGGTGCAGAGAAATGTGCTTACTTTATTTTCTAGGTAGTTAGTACTGTCTTTCCACTTGTAAAATGTAAATTGATGTATCTAAAAAAGAAAAGTAAATTACATTTGTTGCTTTTGCTTTTCTTTCTCTATTTTAGTCCCTCAAATTTGAGATTATGCGATAGATGCTCCATATACATAAGTAATTTTGCTTATTATAGGTAATAATATTTGTTGCTTGCAACACTTAATGTGTGGGAAAGAGAGATTATAGCATTCAAATTTGAACCAAACTAGCAATGATATCTTTTTTGATATTCATAGATGTCTGCCTAATGATTCTAAACATACTAATAAAATGAACTTACTTTCTTTCTTTTGCAGGTTGATGATACAGAAGTTATTAGCTTCCTTCTTTCAACAGAGATAATCCCGCTATGCCTGCGCACAATGGAGATGGGTAGTGAACTGTCAAAAACAGTTGAGTTTGTTGATTTTTTAACTTCACTTTTCCAATTGTGCTGAATTATCTACTTTTTTTTTTTTGTTCCCATACATATTCGATCTGAAAATATGTTTGTTATTCAAGTAGCAAAATTTGGATGGAATTGTTTGATAACCAACACACTTGCCCAGGTGCCCATTGCTGGGTTGCTGCCCAGGCTGGCTAATACATTTTAATTTTTTTTGACTGACTTGGATGTGTGCTTATGTAACAATGCCAAGAATATTAAGTGTACGTAATTTATATTTTATGTATTTATTAGATTTTTTATAACACCATATATGTTTTTAATATAAGTTTTTTACTAATTGGACTTAATGGACAGGCTTTTGTACCAAAATCTAAACTCCAGTTGAGCTTGGTCTATTCCAGGCTTTTAATTCTTGGACTTGGACTAGGACTAGGCAAAGACCTGCCTGTGCAAACCTGATTGTATGCACAGGCAATGTTTCAACTTTGCTTACGTTATATATCTGCAACTAAATTAGGATATGTATTTTTATGGTTTCTTAGCATCTTGAAGTTTGTCATGTCATTTACTCTACATTTTAAGTCAATTTCGGGTTGAGATAGCTTAACTTGGAGGTCTATGCTTGTGCCATATTTTGTTGGTCAAACCACCATTAGGTGATGCCAGAGGTGGTCGGTGGGTGGGTTAAATCAAGTTTTTGGGTGGAATCATTTCAAGTTGATGGAGTTGGATTGCATCAGGTTTGATTCATGTCTTGCCACTTTTAATCTACTATAAATGGGTACTGGCTTTGGGTTTAGGTTTAGGGGGATGAGTTCTTAAAATTAGGTTGGTCTGGGATTTAGGTGGTCATCTGGGTTGGGTTGGCTTTTTCAATTTCTAGCTAATTCCCCTCCCCCTTTTTTCATGGAGGTCTTTTAAGTTAGCAAAAACACGAACTTTGCTATACAAATGTTGCCAACTGTCTTCACATTAAGAAATTGGCATAGTGAGGGTTTTGTATCTTTTGCTTCTTATGTGGTTGCTGAGTTTTGTCTATTATGACTAGTTCAAAAAGGACATGTTCTCATTCTGTTGTTTACTTTTCACAGAGTTCAAGTCATATAGCAGCTAATAAATGTGGTAATGAGATTGCCAATTTTCAGATGTTCCCACTCCTGTCCCCACCCCGTTTTTATAGAAATTTTAATAGCATCTATGTTCACTTGAGCTATAGTATGTTATAGTGTGGGGCTGCATAGGAAGCGGCCAACTTTGGTGCAAATATCTGAAATTACGTGCACTTGACGGCTGTTGTACCTCACTGTTAGAGTTGATTATGTCATAGTTAATTTTAATTTTAATAAGTGGTTATCCAGAATTCAGGGGATTGTGTATAAGGTTTTTGCTTCCTTGATTTGTAACAAATGATTGTTTGATGGCAGGTTGCCACTTTTATAGTTCAGAAGATTCTGTTAGATGATGTTGGCTTGGACTATATTTGCACTACTGCAGAGCGGTTTTTTGCAGTTGGTCGAGTTCTAGGAAATATGGTTGCTGCACTTGCTGAGCAACCATCTTCACGGTTGTTAAAACATATTATTCGATGTTATCTTCGATTGTCAGATAACCCAAGGTTCGTTATTCAAGTTGATCATGGGATCACTTGTCAATTTTGGCTCAAAGCTCACTTTCTTTTTCTTTGATTTTTCATAATTTTATTTCCGAGGTTTATGCATAAAATTGACATGTTTTTGGGTTTTCCTTCATAATACAGGGCTTGTGTTGCGTTAAGAAGTTGCCTTCCAGATATGTTACGAGATGCAACCTTTAGTACTTGTCTTCGTGTAAGTACTACACTTTTAATTCATATTTCTATTTTTTATTTTTGGCTATAACTGAGTTCATATTATTCTAATTGTATTTTATCTCTAAGAGTCCTGCTGAGAAGGGTTATATTTAGCCTACTCCGTATGTGAATTCATTTATTAACGTGGGATAATACCTAAGAATGTCCTTGAACTTCAGCTAAAACTGTAATTCACCATCTTTTATTGCGTTATATTAAACATATATAATTCTATTTACACTCATAATCTTGGATTCAAATAGCGGTGCAGTTGCAGTATAGTGGCTGTTATTTTGCAGTAATGCCACCACCTGCCACCGTTATTTAAAAAATGTTGGGTGAGAATTTGAATCTCATTGATAACGGAGTGTCACGGCCACAAAAAAATGTAGTGGTGAATAGTGGTCTTAACGGACTATTATTGGCGCTGCTCCATTTTTTTGTCAGAAAACCAGAATAAAAAAAATTGGCAGCCCCCAAAAAACCTTAATTTGACATCAACCTCAATCGAGCCTCAAACAAACTCAAATTTAATCTAGAATCAATCATCAATCCAACACAACCAACAGCTCAACACAAGTAATTACCTTTGTAAAAAAAAATTCCAAATGTCTGTTAAATTTTAATGGGACCGAGCTGATTGGTGAAGTTAGCCTCTCCTTCTTGCATTTTCTGCTGAGTGAGAGCTCTGACTCTGATGATGAGGGATTGAGGCTCGGCCACTAGGGTGGGCCATTGGGTGGTGGCGATGAGTTTTCTTGGTTGAGAATTAGGATTTGGGATAAGGGAAACGAGAGCCTAAGCAGAAGCCAGACGCATGTCACCATGGCTGAATCACCTAATTGGTAGGACCGTATTTGGTGGGAGGGGGAAGCTTTTATTTGGGCTTTTGGGTTGACTTTGAGAGTTGAGAGAGTGGACATTGAGAACTGATGAGAAGTAAGAGGTTGAGATGAATGAGAGTGTGAGAATGAGATTGAAGAAAATAAAAAAGAAGAGATGTCGAGAGAGGAGAGGGATTAGAGGGATTAGAGGGGAATAGGGCTAAAATTTTAGTTTTGAGCTATGGGGAAGGACCATGATGGGTTTTGTTCATGTGAAATTTTTTATTTAGGGAAAATTTTGTTTATAGGAAATTTTAAAGGTTAAATTTTATGGTAGGGAAGTTTAAAATTAAATAAATTTAGGAATTAATATGAGATAGCGAGATTTTGGAGACACTAGATAAAAATTGAGGTGATAAATTTTTTGTATAACTTAAATGAAAATTAATTAAAGTTAAATGATTATATATTGATTTATTATTTATTATTTTATATTTTATATTTGAATTTTATTAATGATATTTTGTTTTGGTATTTGTATTGTTAATTTTTTTACTATTAGATTAATTTTTATTATTATTATTTTTGTGAACTTAAATAAAAATTAAAAATTTGATCCCTTGTATAATAATTTGAAAGTAATTTATGACAACAATTTTAAATTAATTAATGTGTAAAAATTTAAAATACTTAATAAATTACTACATTTCAAAATCATAAAAATAATAAATATTTAATAGATTATTACATTTAAAAATTAAGTAAATAAAATACTTGTGATATCATAAACTATTTTAAAATCATGAAGTAAGAATTTTTATAATCATAATTATAATTACTATATTTTATAACATATTGTGCGAAATTAAAAAAAAATTTTCATGATCGCGGTAATTGTGATGATCGCAATAGTCTTCGTTATGTTCACAACTGCGCTAAATGCAACATGATCGAAAAACATGACCACAATCACAATTTAAATCTTTGCTCATAATCTTTAATAGAGATGCGTGTAATAGTCCACTAAAATGACTAGATGTTGACTCCTGCTAGTTATGCTTTTTTGCAGCCATGTGGTGTTCGAAATGCTTTGTTGGTAGCCACATGGGATGTCATAGAGAAGAGTTAGTGAAAAATTAAATATTGCTCATATTTCTTGCGTCTGACTTGGGAAAATAGTCAATAGTTTCTGTTCTTTTCCTCTTTTTTTTTTTCCTCTCTTTTTTCTTCTCATCTCTTCTTTCCTTCTTGACTGGCCTGACTGGCCTGGTCTGGGTTATGGCTATCGCTTAAAATCCAAAAAGTATATACCATAAACATTTTCAGCAGCCATTTTGTGTCATTTGAATTGAAAGCTAAAAATAGATAGAATATTTTGTTCAACCAGTAGTATAATGTACTCTAGAAAAATAACTACTCATAATATGGAAGTTATTGATCCCTATTGTTTGTACATATTTCAGTAACTATAAAAAGGTTATTGTTAAGAATGACCCTTAAACTATAGTGAAATATTTAATGTAGTACTTGAATTTTAAAAATCTATAATGTGGTATTTGAATTATGAATCTGATAATTAATGTGATACTCGACTCTAATGTGGTTAGTTTCATATAATGACACGTGGTAGACAACCAACCTTCAAGTACCAGATTAGTTAACAGATTCATAATTGAGGTATCACATTAGATATTTTTAAAGTTCAGGTATCACTTTAAACATTTTACTATAGTTTAGGGGTCATTTGTAACATTAACAATACTATAAAGTGAAGAGGTATGTATATACATATACATTTGTTAGTAAAAAAATACCTTTTACTTGACCCAGTTTAAGTTGATCTTTACTTCAAATATGGGCTGAGAGTTTGGAGTCTTCATTATGTTATATTTGATGTGCTCAGGATTTTACGGGTGTATCTTATATGCTTGTGGTCGTCTTCAACCTTTAGTGATTGGGTTCTTGAATGTGAAACCCACATTGTGATACTAGTTAAACAAGTTTGTTCATTAGTGAACTTTTTAAAGGACTTATCATCTTCAGATCTTTAGGAAGATTTAGCTCATAATTGACCAGAATGGAGAAAAGATTCATGTTGCTGACTTAGGTTGCTTTAGATAAAGGCTTGATTGAGTTTGAATGAGTTGTGGTCATTGGTGACTGCTGGTTGTTGGCCATTATTTTGTGGGGTTATTGAAATCCATTCCATCTAAACTTATTATTATTGGAAAAATGATGTTTCTACATATTTTCTCAACCGGACAGGAAATTTATTCAATTTTGACAGAGAAATCTGAGTTATCTCACTTAATTTGGTGATGGAAAACTTATCTTTTCCAAGGCATCTGCTTTTTTGTCTCATCCAGTTTGTTCATGCTTCTAGGAAGATCAAACCGCTAGGAGGTGGCTGCAGCAGTTGCTTCACAATGTTGGGGTGAATCGGATGCCCGCTCTTCAGGCTGGTGGAGGATTTGATCACATGCTGGTTAACTGAAAATCTTACAATTTTCTTTCAGTCCCGGTCCCATCGTTTCCAATTTCAAGGCTGGTTTCAGCTGGCAGGGAGACATCTTTTACGTTATTATCTAACTAGTTTTTTTCTCTTTTTTTTTTTTTTTTTTTTTTTAATTTATGTACGATAATTGAATTAGCTGTTGTAATTAGTGATTTGTCCTTGAAAGAAATGCAGTAGTAGGAGACTGAGGCTTGGTCTAAGGTGGAGGAGCAAAGCTGGTCAGACCATGCTGAGTTGTGCACATTTATTTAACTAATTTTCATGTATAATGAAATAATGATCAGGCTGCTGATTGGAATCGTGGCTTGCTTGATAATAGCCCTAGCCTTATATGTATCAGTGATTTATTTTAAGGGAACTTGTAAAGAAAATATGATTGGGAAATGCCAATTATGGTATGGTAACTTTCATTTTGTTGAAAAGTGAAAGGCAAATTGTATATTCTATGGTTTTTTATACGCTGCTTTGTTTTTAGGGGTTTGGCCTTGTGAATGTTCATTTTGTGTCTGGTCACATGTCCAATCGGAATCACTAAGAGCAGCGCCAACTCCGCCACTGCTACATGACAACATTCATTTATTTAACAGGTATGTTACGGCATCTACAAATTTACTGTATAAACAATTCGTACGAGGCTCTTTTAATAGACACAAATGTGTTTATGTTATGATTTTTACAGGAGCTCATGACATCTATAAATGATCTTCCTAAATTTCTGAAGAGCTGGCGATTTATTGAAAAGATCACAAATTTGGATTACATTATAAGTTGAGAGGGTAAATTACTTGGTGTCACAAAATAAGACAAAATTTTAACATTCGGGTCTGTCTTTCTTTATAGTTTAATGAAGTGGCATTAACCTTTGGTTTCTTTCTCGATGGTTTTATTAATTAATAAAACAAACCATCAAGGAATGGCGAAAGTGAAAAGGTCATGGATGAGAATTTTTGGTTTTTCTAATGTTCAGTTAATTTCTAATTGTTAATATATCAACACATGAAATGTGGTTGTTAATCAGAAACAATTCAAATTATTATTTGATTTTTGGGAAACAAGATGTTTTTCTTTTTCTTTTTTAATTTTAAAAGTGGTTCTATGAAACAAATGAGGTTAATATCGAATTAAAATCATTATTTGTTTCAAATTTGTAATAATTAGGGAATAAGACAAGGTTAGGTTGTCAAAACAACAATTGAAGCGCCGAACAGCCCTACATCAACGAGTAAAATAGAATTTGTTGGAAGCAAAACAAAAAATCATTGGAGGAAAAAAAACAAGGGAAAATTATTTAACGAAGATATTAATTTATTTTTGCATTAGTTGTCTGACACTAAAGAATACAATATTTGCCATTTGAGACACAATGTCCAACAATAAAACAATGAATGGCAAACTAGCCATGCTATAATTTTAATTGTGGAAATCTTGAAATGGACCCCAGGTGATAGAATGCAGATCCTTGCAAAAGGAAGACAAGGAAAGAAAGAAAAAAGGAAAAACAAACAAAAGGTTGGGAACAACACACTAAGAAAAAGATGGGCTTTTTACCAAATTCATATTCCATGAAAACATGCTTTTTCATGGATGACAAAGTTTCTTGTGAGCTCTCAAGTCAGCATAGAAGAACAGATAAAACTGTTGGAGAGGCATCTGGTTTTACATTCACATAGACTGAGCTTATATCAAGTGGGATGAGATTGGAGCCACAACTTTCCAAACAATGATGCAGTCGCAATCGTTTATCGTCACTTCTGGTTAGGTTACTAAGCTGTTAACTCTGGTTTCCTCCAAAAAATGAACACATACATACATTCAAATATCCTGGAAAACCAAAAGAAATCATGATTGATGAAATAATACTTGGCTAATGATATTAGAAAGATAAATTAGGAAAGAGAGAAATGGCATTATGGTGAAGTTGCAATCTAGAAATTGACAACAGATTGCCATAAACAACATAAAAAGAGGCTACAGTTGCATGAAATTTACTAAATAAGCCAGATGAAAATTACACATTACAATAGAACCATGCATTTGCCTCCAACTGAAGAGCTCCAACTGCCGCTTCTTTTACCCTGCTTTGATATTTGCATAACTAGATATTCAATGAAAAGAAGGAACATATAATCGCTGGTTGCGCTCATAGCATAGTGTCCGATCTTGCAGGCAACCTCCTAAAAAAGTTAAGAGGTACAGATGGAAGTTTGTGGCGGAACCTGGGATGCCTTAGGACATAGAGGCCTATGAGAAGAGCCACAACTTGGAATGGCGTAACATATAGAACTATGGCAGCGATCAAACAGAATGTCACAAATAGAGTGGTTGCTCTTGGGTCCCTCCAGCTTAGCAGAGACTGAAATCTTTCCGCTTGAGTGGCCAGATCACCAATCACACTCTGCACTCTCCCTGCTATTATTCTTAGACGATCATATCTCATCCTGACAATATCCGAAGGCCGAGAAGTGGGGAAGGTATCAAACTCTTCATCTAATTCATCAGGATGGGCAGCATCGGCATGAGAGAGCCGAGTGTCCATGTGAGGAGGGTGTCGTGGCCTCCAACGGTAGTTCCAGATTCCAATTAGGAAAAGGTAGAGAAAAACTGTGGGAAGTATTAACTCAGGATAAAGAACCAATATAATGAAAAGGATGTGAATCAAAACGGTCGTAAGAGGGTTTCTCCAATTGCAGATTTGATCAAACCATTTTCCAACTGCAATCAACCCACTTAGAACGCCCATAATTCTGAAAAAGTTTGCTTTGCTTCTCCTCATGCTCCACATGTGTGAATCAACATCAAGCGTGTACTCCACAACTTCCTTCCTCAGAGGTGGCTCGGCCCGGCTCAGCCTCATTGAGACAATCTGCATAGCCTGGTGCCTCAAGCTGTCAAGCTGAACCATATACAATGGGTGGATGTAGTGCATCTTAGGCAACAGTGGATGTGAATACATATGCAGCATGTTAATCAAAGTTGAGCAGGTGAACCTCACAGCCAATTGAACTTCGCCTGTCTTCTTAACCCCTGAAGAATGTAGCACCAGAAGAGGATACGAGTGAGTATAGACCCTATCAGCTTCAAGCGTAGACAGCCGAATCCTTACCTTCCCAATTCTCTCATCCTTTGTCCCTCCAGCTCCCCCATGTATATGACCATTATCGAAAACCCCTACCGTAATGACAGTACAAGGGTCGAAAACCTCCCAAGTGTATTGCTCATTCCACTTTGGCATAAAATTGTCAACAATTGTCCTTGTCCGGACCCATTTCTGCCCATACTTAGCTACACAATAAGCATCTGTGGTTCCTCGTCCATCTTTTGTTTTCATTGGCATCAGCCCTTGAGCACTTAGAATACCCAGTTCCAGAATTCCAATGTTGGGTCTCCATAACTGTTTTGCTGTTGGCCTAAGATCACTACTGTAATGTGTAGATTCATCCAAAACATGGTACCCTCCTTCTAAACAGATCCTTAAGTGAATCCTACTGGAAAATTTTATTTCTTTTTTCACTCCATCCACAATCACATGTTTCTCCAGATTATGCCACCTGCTGTTCACAGGTTTATGGTCCAACCTTCTTTGCACAAAATGCAAAGGAATTACACACTTCCCCAAGGTTTCATCCTTGTTTGATCCCACCCTATCTTCCACAGTTAGAACCAAAGGCTCCTCAAAAGGTTCAGCAGCTACAAACATTAAGTCCTCATTCCACATTGGATTGATAGTCTTACTTGAAGATATTCTAGTTCTCAAAGCATGATTTCCGAGAACAGCTTTCACAAAAACTTCAGGGAACCTTGTTTTATCGCTAGGTACCAAGTCTTGAGCTTCAATCACATTCACCCTCACATACCAAAGCTTGGGGGAAAGATACACTTTCGATCGGATGTTTGTAACACCATCAGGTCCAACCGATGCAGCATCTGAATGCCATGCATCAGGAAATGCCTCATCTGCTTGAGTGCCCATCCAAACAGCCAGCATGAGCTCTCCTTTAGCTTTATCACCCTTTCTATCTTCCAATCTATACCACTGTGGCGCCAGTGGGCTGTCTGGAGGAACCCTTTTTGGAATTTCATTGAGATCAAACATAACCCTGCCGATTAAATCATCTATAACAACATCCTTATCCTTCACTAACACTTCCAAAACAGAAGCTTGAATTCTTTCTTTGGAGAAAGCAAATACTTGATTCCATTCAGGATTGCTCTTCTTCTCGAAATGCTTAGTAGTTCCCTTGTAATTTCCAAGTTTAACCTCAACATAGGGATCACAACTACCAATGACATCTTTTCCAGGTAAATCCTTGGCCTTGACAACTCGAACATAGAGGTATTGCATTTGCTCAACAAGGTCATAGGCACACGAAAGCTTATCACCCGTGACAGCTCCTGCCCCGATATTGGGCCAGGTCTCCTTTAGGGCAAAGTCTACTGATTGTGGAGGCTTCTGCATCTTTCTTCTCAAGAACACTCAACAGTTATTTAAGAGGCAACAAGTGTTATCAGAAAAGAACTAGAATTATATGGTAAAGATAAAAAGGCTACGGCCACTAAAAGCTGAACTGTTTCGTTGTGATTTCCGGGCTATTTGAATACAAAAGAAATTAAGCAAAGTACTGCTACAACATTTATAGGTCAAAGATTAAAAAAAAAAAAAAGGCACAAACAAGGGCAGTTTGAGTGTTGAAAGTTCAAATCTCTAACTAGTTATAACTTTTTGACTAACAGATTAACACTGTAGGCACTTCTAGGAAAGCTTTGAACTTGAAATACAAAAACCTGCAAAATCAAAAGGAAGAAAAACTATGAGCAAGAATTACAACCCACCACCTCCATCTGGATGCTGAGCAAAAGGAAGAAACTACATATAGTAGAATAACAATACAGTTTCTATGTGCTGTCATTATTATTGTCAATAATCGTTATTAGGGGAGCATTTAATGCAGTCAAAAGCCAAAGTGATGTAAACTTGAAGATTCTTCTTCTTCAAAAAAAAAAGCATTTTCCCGGCAACCAAACAGCATTAAAACTGAAACATTTATCAGAACGTACAATAAGACAATGGAAGTGCATTTTGTACAAGAAAAAAACAGAAACAGATCTAAAGCAAGAAAACCCATTAAACCAAACAAAGGAAACAACAAGGAACTCAAGCAAAGAAAAAAAATTACATATCTTTATCAAGCATTATTGATGTTGTTACATAACTTAAAAATGTAAACAAAGAAAACACTCAGTTTCAAATTTTGAAAAACCACTCAGACCAACCCCACAAAGACAATCTCACCAAAGCATTCATTTTTTAGGAAAAAAAAATATGTACCTCTGTAAGAATGTAGGAAAAGAACCAACTTTCTTCGAGGTGCAAGAATGTATACACTATATATATTTATTTATTTCAATGTTTTGAATTGAGCAAAAGAAAGTGAAACTAAGATGAAGCCAAGAGTGAAGTAAGATAGGAATGGGGGGACATGTGGGTAGTGAGACTGTTAAAATGACTGAGTCTATCTTTCTATAAAGAAAACAAAGAGTTACTCAGTCAACTTTTTTCTTTTTTCCATTTCTTTATTATTTTTCATTTTATTTCAGTAATAATGCTAGTGTATATAATAAGTTAATAATCATTTGTTATCATATAATAGAAGTAGTGAAATTTTTTTTTTTTTTAATAAGACTTGAAACTTGAAAAGAAGAAAAAGATAAAAAAAAAAGGCACACATGGGAAGACTGTGGTCTGCTTAGGCACATGCAGGGGGAAGAGTTGTGTTTGTTTGTTTATGTTGGTGGACCTTTGACTCGCTGTTTTGCTGTTTCACTACCTGTTGAAGGACGACAAACTCTTATTTATTTATTTATTTTTTAAATCTTCTTGATTTTCTCGTTTTATTACCAAGTTGCAATGCATGGGCATTTGTGACAAATATATCAACGTACCTTGTTTTTGTCCTTATTAAAAGGTGAATGTCAAAATTACCTCACTCACTAAATGACATCAAATCATGTTTTTGAAAATTGAATATTATTTCGGGTAATACACATATGGGCTAAACTCTTAGCTAATGTTTAATATGAGATATCACTAAAAAATTTATAATAATTAATGTATTGATTATTATTATTATTATTTAATTATTTAATGATCTTATATGAAGGTAATTTTGAATAGAGTAATTAGATCATAATCTTGTAAGAGATTTAATTTTTAGGTTAAAAGTTTTTATTATCGAAATGAATTGATATTTAATATTAATAATAGTAAATATTATTTATTTAATATATGAATTAAAAATTTATTTTTTAAATTAATTTTAATTATTTTATATTATAAATTTTTATAGTTTTAATTTAATATTCATTATAACAAGTTTAAAAATAATTTACATAGTTTTTTTAAACTTTTTAAACATTTTATGTATTATATAACTTTCAGATTTTAATAGATTAACTTTATTTTCTAATTAAAATATTTTTTAATAATTTATAATATAAAACTAGTTTATCTATTAATAAGTATATATTTAATTTAATAATTTAATAATATTTTATTATAAAGTAAATAAAATATTATTAACATTTTACAATTATTATTTTTAAACAACATTAAAATCATTAACTCATGTAACTATTACAAAATACAATATTATTTTAGTACTTTCAAACAGAATAATATTTAATTTTTAGTAATACCAAATATAATAATCTTTAATTTTTAAGAATTAATGATTATTAACCAAACAAAGTGATTTTAAATCACATTGATAAGATCACCTTATTAATAAAAACACTTTGTTGATTAAATTACTATGGTGATCTTGAAATGATATTAAACACTATCTTAAAGATTATAAAATTGAAAGTATTTAATTAATAAGATCCTACAAGAGTACAGATCATATAAGTAAAGATCATTCCCATGAGGATTGTAAATAGAGTTAACATTAAATACCAAAATTATAACACCTAATTATATTCAGACAAATTGAAGCTAATATGCAAGAACTAAATTGTTAGCTTTTTAGGTGAGATAGTGATCTAAGATGAGGTGAATTGGATTTATCTAAATTCTTCTTAAACAATGATTTCAAAATAATTGAATGAGGAATTAAATCGAAAAACACTTTTGATGAAAATATGATGTAATGAATAACAATTAATAAACTTAGAATCAAATATAAATAGCAATAAACGTAAGGAGATAGAAATAGAGAAATCAAATAAAATTATTTATAGAGATTCGGTCATTTTGCTCAAGGCACCTACATCTTTTTTTCTTGGTTATCCACATCAAGGCTTCAATTCACTAATTGAAGAAAAATTCTTATAAGATATAAACCTATCTTGTACTAAATCTCAATATTTTTCTTAATGCGTAGATAGCAACATCTACCCTTATACAATCAAGAGGATACCTAACCTCTTGCTTATAAAATAACCCAATGATTTTTTGCTAACTAAAATACCTTTAAAGGTTGAGTGTTTGCCTAATGAAGTACAAAAAAATTTGATGAATGAATAACAAGAATTATTTGGATACAACAAATACAAAAATATAGATTTTAAAGCTCTAAAACTCTTGATTTCTTTGAGAGAATGAATATATAACTTGTTTAATCTTGCTCTCTTGATTCATCATCCTTAATGTATTGGAATGCCCAATATATAGAAGAATTGAAGAATTGAAGAATTAGTTGTTGAAGAAATACCCATTGAAAGCTTGAAAAACTAACCATTATGCATATCTTTGGGCAGACCCGATCAATCCCTTCTTTAAGGGGATTGATTGGTTCATGCTTTGGAATGCCATTTTACACTTAAAAATCACAACTTGATCAATCCTTTTATGTGGGGATCGATCTTGTTAAAGGGGTGGTCGATCATTTTTTACATTTTCAAAATAAAAATTGCTTCTGTAAAAAACATTAATTGATCCATTACAAAAAAGGATTGATTGGTTTAACTAGGGGATCGATCCTGTAACCCAGGGGATCGATTCAGTTAAGCTGGGTGGTTGTCTCTTGTTTTGCACTCTACTCACTAATTTAATTATATCTTAAGTTATACAATTCTAAATCAAAAACTGTTTGAAGATTTAGAAACTAGACTTAAAGGGCTTTCTATTCATATTCATCACCTAATTCATTGTATTCAAATTATAGTGAATTTTCAAAACTATTCATTATGTAGTTTTTAGACAATTGCAAAGTCTCTAATAAAAATTCAAAATCTTTTCTTAAAAAATTTGGATTTTGATTTTGTTTGATCTATTCAAAAGTAGACTCAAAGAGCTTTCCAACTATATAAAATTCAAATATTAAAGCTTTGTGAATTAATACAAAAAATAAAACAAGTTCAATGTTGGAAAACTTTATTTTGGTAAAATAACTTTCTTAAGTTAATTTATTTCTCAAAATTAATATTATCAAAATTGTATTAAGTCCAAAATGAATAAATTTACTTTAAAAACAATAATTGGACTTTCTTTTAGGCTCAGATAAATAATGTTTAAAGATAGTTTTGATATGAGAAGTAAGAAAACATAAAGAAAGGTTTGTTTAAATTTTGAAAATCATATTATTTATTTAGTACCAAAATATAAAACTTTAGAACATGTACTAAATAAATATTTTTCAAAATCTTGATCAAGCTTATTTAGCTTAATGTTTTGTCATTTCAAAATAAAGATTAATTCAATGCTAACAATCTCTCTCTTTTTGATATGACAAACCTTAAAGATAATTTGCTTGATAAAAAACTTTCTTTAAGACATGTAAGATTTTGAAAAATATTTTGAACAACTCCCTTTAAACTTTGCAAGGCAAAACTCCCTCTCAATTAATGCATCCTAATCCAACACAACTCAACATACATATGTTAGTCAAATATATCAAATAAGCAGAACAAAAAATATGCATGTCAAGCACAAGCCAATTTGTCCATATTATATTTCTTCCCCTTTTTGTCATAGTAAAAAGCATGAGCAAATAAACATAAAAAGAAGGTATTAGCAAATATATTTATGAAACATTTCTCCTTCTTTTTGTTTAACCTCTTTATACGAAATGTAAAGCTCCTATACCAATTGTTATAAACATACAAGAAATATTTATAAATTCCCCCCCTTTAGTCATTATAAAAGAGAAAAAGATCAATTCAAGGCATGAGACAAAATACTTGATATCAATAATATCAAGAGTATTTTGAATGCATGTAATCAAGTATAATATGCACAATAAAGTTCACATACATGTATTCAAGCACAAAAGCATAAATGTATCCAATTAAAATGTCATAGAACAAAATCATTCATTCAACCTAACCACATGAAATTTATGAGCAAAAGGATAATAAATGATATACAACCTACTCATAAATCATGTTATCATAAGATGTGCTTAGAACCTAAAACATCAATAACAATTAAGCATAAATTAAAGCACATGCATACAACTCATACCACTTGTTAAAGATATGTTATCACAAAACATACCAATTACTATCACAAAACAAATCATGTAAAATTGTATTCTAAGATTTCTTTTCCTTTTCAAAATAAAGATTAATCAATTTAAGGCACATATAATTTTGCATGAAAAGTACAAGCTATATCAAGGATAGGGACATAAACAAGTATCCATGAAAGTTAAAAAATTCTTTAGCAATTTTGATACCCATTGTTACTAATTGTTATCTATTTTGTTCACAAACTTTTAAGGATCATAATATATTTCAAGCATATGAAAAGTTCAATCAATACATGTATAATAGTATTCCTTCATAAGTATATCCTATCCAAAAAAAATTCAATCATCATGTTATAGCAAAGAATTATACAATCATGATTTTTCAAGCATGATGAACATATATGCTATAGCAAACAAATGATGAAAGCATAATCACTCAAATATAATCCAAATTATTTCAATGTATAGCAATGTACTTAACTCAAACATATGCAAGAATTCAATCATATATTTCAATCAAAATCATACAAGCATATGCAAAATACATAAGCAATATACCTAATTAAAAAAAATACAAGCATTTAGGCACAATTTGGTACTTGCCATCTCAATGATCTTAATCAATGAATATGTATATAAATTTCAAATTTATAATTCATAATCTATGAGTCAAATCAATTTAAAGATCAAGAAATCAACATAGCTAACTCATAGCCATGTTCAAAGATTCAAATGAATATTCATGCAATAAAAACTATTAATCAAAACAATCAAGAATTAGGCATGAATATCAATAGATGTGAATTAATCAATCCAAGCTTTCAAGAATGTTAAAACAATATTTACCAAGTGGCTTGGTGATTAATTTGTGTAAT